ATGTTGATTTGAAACTGAAAAACTGCTAATCAATTTTTAAATTTGCTAATCAAATTTGGCAAAATTGGACTTTTTGATTAGCAGTGCTGCTAACCATCTGTGAAAAATTACCGACAGCCCTGATGGTATCATAAATCAAACTAGATTTAGTTTTAGATAGCGTTTACCGTTATGATTTTTTATTTTATACACATGCTGACAGAGGCTTCATCTTAAAATTATTGTTGTTATTATCGAAGGCAATATGGCCTAGTCGTACCAAATTTTATCTTAAAGAAATTTTTATTATGTTTTTCATGTCTTCCTTGTCCCGTTTGTCTATTATCGACCAATCAAATTGCTTATCGCTCTGCTTACCTTGAGCAGAAAATGCTCACTATTGAACTTAGTCAAGGTATTGATGTAATGAAACTATACACCAAGTTTCACCACTCTCACTTAATTAGAACTAAAGTTATTGTGTCCCAAAGCATCAACCAATCCACTTGCTTATCTCTGCTTACACTAAGCAGAAAATGCTCATCTTCGAACTTCATCAAGGCATTGACCTAATAAACAGCCACACCAAGTTTGAACATTCTATCTCAATTAGAATTAGAGTTATTGTGTCCCAAAAAGTGTGACCGACAGACAGACAAACAAACGGACGGACGGACGAATCCATTTTAATAGTCCCCTGCTTTCTTCAAAAGTTGGGGGACAATAAGGTTTTGCGTGTCTACTGTTATTTTCAGGTATCGTAACGGTATCAAAATATGAATCCCTAATAGAATGATAGAAATTTCAATTTCATTGGCAAGAAATGCTTACGTTCACTTTCATGCATTTTGGCGGTGGTGTAATTCAACAATGACAGACTGTTCTTCCCACTCGATAATCTTCGCGTTTCGACTCGTCGGTCGTTATCATTTTTCCGACCCATGGGGATAATAGAATTTAAACAATAATATCCAATATGCATCATGAAGCGACAGTAAACGGAATTCAGTTTTTTTCTTGTCTACGTTGTCACCTTCAGTGGAAGTTGACGCAGGGTTGTAAAAATAGCTAACGGAAATGTGATCTATTTAGCAGTACTAGTTCTGGGCTAGTGCCCTTTCATGGGTTTGTGAATTAAACTAGTGGCGATATATACTCAGCCAAATTAAAAACTTGACACTGATGAATTTCAACAAATTTTTTTTTTCTGGTAAGTCAAATAAATTTTAAAGTGTTTCTAACGATAGTAAGTAGTAAGAAGCCTTTCATTTCATGACTTTTGAGCATATAAAGATGAAAAACCTGAAAAACACGTGCAAACACAAACTCGTGAGGTCAATCGATGCAAGTTTGCTTAAACTGAACACACACACGTAACTTGAACTGGAAAAACAAATTAAAATTGTTATTTTCATCTTTGTTAGAAAATGCCGCGCCTTTCAAATGTAGAACATCTACGTGCTATAGGTAGGCTCTATGCTGGTCAGTCTGTGGTCACTGTTGCAAGAGCCTTTAATTGTTCATGCCAGACAATAATTAATCTTAGAATGAGAGTGCTTCAAACTGGAACTATTGCCGACCGCCCAAGGGCGGGAGCGCCACGTGTGACATCACTTCAGGAAGATCAAGCAATACGATTACGTCATCTTAGAAACAGATTTGTCACTGCAACCTCCACAAGTAGAGAGATGTTTAGTGAAAGGGTAACTGCACAAACTGTTCGAAATTGCTTGCAGGCTGCTGGTCTTCGAGCTCGGGGGCCCTATAATGGACCAATATTGACACCTCTTCATCGCCGTAACCGACTTGTGTGGGCCACAAGGCACATGAGATTTACTCAAAGACAGTGGAATTCGGTTGTCTTTAGTGACGAATCTCGATTCACTTTGAGATTTGCCGATGGCAGGGTCCGAGTGTACCGCAGACGAGGTGAACGTTACGCTCAAGTATGCGTCAGAGAAGTTGACCAATTTGGTGGCGGCAGCGTCATGGTTTGGGGTTCTTTTTGTGCACATGGACGTTCTCCTCTGGTTGTTGGCCATGGGAACTTAAATGCTGTCCAGTACAGGGATCAGATGTTGCAACCTGTTCTTCTTCCGTTTATGCAGAGACATGGGCCTGGACTAACGTTTCAACAAGACAATGCTCGACCCCATACAGCAATTGCTACCCAGAATTTTTTAAGAAATGCCGGTGTCCAAGTCCTGGATTGGCCGTCGCTTAGCCCCGACCTTAATCCTATTGAACACATCTGGGACGAACTGGGTCGACGTGTTCGTCAGCAAGTGAATCCACCACTGACGTTGCAGGACCTTCAACATGCTCTTGCTGAGCAGTGGCGACGTCTTACTCGGGTAGTGTTTACTAATGTTCTGGGATCCATGGGAAGACGTTGTGTGGCAGTACGAGACGCTAGAGGAGGCCACAACCGTTACTAAACACTTTATTCCGATTGTTCTCCAAGTCTGTGAATTTCATTTTTGGGGGTACTGTGACATCACAAACGTTATCAATGTCAAGGACTTTCGGCGAGACGTATTCTTGCTTTCTGTTGATGTCAAGGTCGTCTGTGCACAAAATAACACTAAAATAGTTGCCTTAAACCAAATATTAAAAATCTAGTCCCAAAAATCCCGAGTGTCAAGTTTTTAATTTGGCTGAATATAGATAAATAAACTGTAAAACATCCCACATTTATTTCTCAAATTCCAAGGAAAACTCAATCATAACAATAGATTTTCTGTAGTAAAACTTGAGCCGTATGGACATTTTCTGTACCCCTTCTATTCATTCATTCTTAACATTTCATTTCTCCATCTTGAACGCTTTGACAGGTCACTATAAACCAGTTGAAATCAGGTTGATTTAAAAACAAAAGACTCACTTATACTTTATACTTTGCATGTAGATACCCCAATAACATTATCACCAAAATCAAATTTCTATCGTCCGCTTGAGCCTCGATGCTTCCACGTAACAAAAATGGTTTGCACGCAGTGTCTGGGCCAACCAGCAAACGAGTCGTGTTGGCAGCATAGCAACAAGCGGAGTTTGTTTACATTTTTTAGGGGGTTTAAAACTCGTTTGTATTCCTTCAAAATGAATTCATCGACAATACTTTGGTCATATTTATAAACTAGAGGTTCTCCGCTTTACCATGATGCCAAGTAGTATGCAAAAGGACTGACAGGTCGCCCTGCTGCGAGCGGAGAAAAAAAGTATCTAATTTCGCTGAGAACATTCAGAAAAAGACAGATTTAAGAATAAAGTACTCTTACAAAACGTCCAAATAAAGGTGTTTTAAAGTGTTTTATTGCTATTTTGATCTTTTGGGTCGATAGATAGTATGTTTATAGACTCATTTGTGTGAAAATCTCAATTTCGATCCAAATCAATATTTTCACTTATTTTGTCTTTATCTCATGACAGATTATTATTAGATTTTACGCATTCCGACTCATTTTGCCATATATTTGTTATATATAGTTTGGGAATTACTTTTTTCTTGCATAGTCCTATCTACGACCCTGGTAAGAAACAATACATTTATAAATTAATACGCCCACGTGTAGTAAAGATAGCAGTGATGAAACTTACAGGTTTTCATTAATTGTGCGATTTTATATTTATAAACTTTCTTTCGAAACAGATTCGTTAATCTGTTATCAATGGAGATTATAATATATCAAATTGAGGTTGGTCCGGATATCGGTAAATAACGATACTGCGTGCAATCAATTTCAAGATATGTAGTTCAGTGGTACGCACGATAATATGTAAACAAATTAAACCCACAAAAAAACCAAACATATATATAACTACAGTCTGACTATGGTACGAAGTATAAAACACATATTCATAAAGAAATGAAATTTGTATAAGAACACACATATGTAACTACAGCACATATAAATCCATGTATAAAGTTTGTGGACATTAAACCCAGGGCTCAAACTATGATCAATTATTAGGGAGAAGTGACTTCTCCTTACAGGCAAAATAGGGAGAAGTGAGGGAGTCCTAGGGAGACTACAAGGAGAGATCAGATTTCACAAATTGCAACGGTAATGGTATCCATCTTGTTTATGTATTTATTGTGGTATAATAAGATCACATTAATATCAGCATTTACATGTACCAAATGTATAAGGTTGCAGCACTGTAACCCAGGTATCATTAAATCTTAGGTATCTAGCACTAATTTACAAGTTTTTAATTTCCTGACCACTGTTCAAAATTTTTTTATTATACATCAACTGGGTTGTTAATATTTTAACAGTGATCGAAAAATTAAATGCTTGTAAATCGGACACTCATTATCAAAATTAAATGATCAGCTTTAAACTGGACACAAGTACAAATTAGATGAATTTTGGTGATTTTAAATGATTTTTACGAAATTTTAAAGAAGGATATGATATTGGATGAATGTGAAAGAAATTAGTGCTAAATACACAAGATTACATGATACCTGGGTTACAGTGCAGGTAGTCGAATATACCGTAAAATTATATTAGGTAGCCCTAAATGTTCCATTTTCTTGCTTTAAACACACCACTGAACCAGAATTAAGAAATTACTAGTTGTTTAAATTTATGATAGAAAGCAATGGGGAATTATATACACTATGTAGGATGACAACAAAATCATTTCCCTAATAAAGAACAGACAAAATAGTCATTTATTTAGATACGAATTGGTTCTTTACCTTTAATACATACAAGCTAGTGCAAGTTCAAACTACATTTGTGTAACTTGTAAGTAAAATAAACACGTGCACCCACATAACAAGATGATGTTAATTTTACGTAAAGTTTATGTCATTTATACGTTATATTTACGTCATTTTCTGACGTAAATCTAACGTAAAGTTTGTCATTTTCTGACACAAATCTAATGTAAATTTTGCGTAAATTTTACGTCACTTATGTTAGATTTACGTCAGAAAATGACGTAAACTTTACATTAGATTTACGTCAGAAAATGACATAAATATAACGTAAAAATGACGTAAACTTTACCCTAGATTAACGTCATTTCCTGACATTAAACTGTCGTTAAAAGAATGAGCAAAAAGATGGAAATCTAACTGACCATTATAACGTAAATCTAACATGAGATAAACATCATTTTCGGATGCAATTCTAATGTCAAATGAGAAAGTAAAACCTTTAATATAATCTATTATTGGTGGTTGTAATTGTGAAATTCAATCAACCAATAACCAAATATTCTTTAACCATAGGAGAGGCTAGATGGTCAAGTGCTCTAACACATGCACTTTTGTTAAGGTCTGTCATTGATACAAGTGGCTTGGTTTCGATATCAGACATGAACGTGGACTTTCTCTGGGTCCTCCCACTACTAAAGATTCCTGGCGCAAGCAAATTATTGAACTGAAACTGGATCTTAGGCCCGAAATGAAAGTTTTTGCCTATTAGACATTAAATCCCATTTCTCTCTACCTATTTCCTCCTAGAGGTTTCGGCCGTCAAATGGTTAATAACACATGTGCATTGCATCATAAGGTCTGTCATTGAATTAAGTGGTGTTGTTTCGATTCCCCACTTGTACATGACAAGTAGTGGGGTAACCTGTCCAATCTTGTGGGTTTTCTCCCACTGCTAAAGATCCCTAAATGGAAACGAGTTATAGAAATAAAACTGAATCACATGTTAGTCCCAAAATGATGTACTGTGATGTGAGTGGACGTTGATCCCCATTTCTTTCTCTATTTATCAATAACCATTCAAAATTCTAATTGTAATTGCAACCGAACGCCCAAACACCAGCAAAACTTACATAATTATTAAACAAAATATACTAAAAGTATCTGTACTTTATTCAAAAGATAAATATATAATGTAATAAAATACAAAAGCAGACATTTAAATTGTAACAGTTTATCCATAGCACTAAGTTGGTGACAACTTGGGAAACAGCTCTTCGGAAAAAGGTCTACCTTAGCACTTTGAAAATGTAGAAAGACGCCCACACAGTCAGCTGCATATGAGAAAGGAAAGCTGTGATGTTGACCAAATTTGACAAAAAAAAAAACCTATAGCCTCTATCACGTTTGCTCAAGGTTTTCGACTTATCAAGGTGGGATAATTCTGGAAATGAAATTTGTGGAATACTGAATATCAATAGGGTTTTTATCCCAATGCTTCACACCAACTTTGAAACCAATGCGAAAAAACTATAGAGCAATGGTCACAGGCTTTGCAGCAAATGGGGGGGGGGGACTCAGGACCCCAATGCTTCATGCCAAATTTGAAAAAGATCCATTAAAGATCCATTCTGTAAAATCTAAATAAAGAACCGACAATTCTTACTATAATAGCTCAAAAATGGATAATGCAAAATGAAAATATTGAAAATTTATTTCAAATTACTTCATTCTGAGCCAAGTTATCACAATTTATAGTTTTGACAAGATGTGTGCATTGTGGTAACCAGAGCACATGTAAATATTCGAGACTTGACCTTACTTTCCCATTTTTGAATTAAATTTGTAATTGGCGACCATTCTAATCTAGTTAAAATCTTGAGTATTTAAATGAAAGCCAAGACGGAAATCTCGCAAGACGCACGAAATTAACAGAAATGGAAATGTGCCAAAAAGATTCTATTGATGGCATATTCTCACTTTGATGATCAAATTTTGAAGGGGGGGGGGGAAGAATGTGTTTTTAAATAAAGATATAAACAAACTATTTCAATTGGAATTGTGTAATTTGAAGTAGTTTTGTTTTAGACAATATTGCGTGCGGCACCGTGGAGCGACAGTTAATGACAAAATTCTATCCCAGACTTCTTTTTTTTGTTTGTTCATCCGTATATACAAATCGAAGCGCAGTACAAGACGAAGGCCAGACTTCAGCGAAAAAAGGTATCGACTTATACCCCCAAAAATATAACTCTGGACGGAAAAATCGTGAAAAGCTGAATATCGATACCGTTCGTCCTCTCATGATCGCAATGTTTCACATCCAGTTTGAAAAGAATCTGGTAGCAACTGCAGCCTTTGTCGCATTCACAAGACAATTGTCACAAGGTTTTCGTAAAATGGACAGTCTCAGAATGTCAAATATTGATAAGGTTCATGGTTCATCCTCTCATGATTCTTCACAACCAGTTTGAAAAGAATCTGTTAAAAACTGTCCCCTTCACAATAACAAGCTAATTTTTGACATACAGTCATGTCAACGATATAATACCCCAACATTGAAAAAAAGGTATATTCTTTACTACACCATGTGTGATAGAATTCGTTAAACACATTACAAATATAATTACAACACAGATCTTTGCTATGATTGATCTATCACAAAAATTTTAAGAATTTGTAAGGGATGCAAAGGCTTATCGTTTACTGGCTGCAGTAGATTTTCAACACACTGATACAACTCAGTTTAAGCTAAAGGGCTGTTATATGATATTGTGACAGGATATCGGCTTGAAACAAACTATTCATAAAAGAAATGACTGTCACAATATCAGACAGAAAATATTTTAGGGGAGAGAGAGAGAGAAATGGGGTTTAAGGTCCACTCGACACAAACTAGGTCATTTCGGGACTAACACATGGTTTAATTTTATTTCAATAATTCGCTTGCGCGTAGGGGTCTTTAGCAGTGAGAAGAAACCGGAGGACCCGGAGAAAACCCACGAGGTTGGACAGGCGACCCTACTCCTTGTCACGTACAACCGGGGATTCGAAACCACGCCAGTTGACTCAATGACAGGCCTTATGATACAGCGCGCAGTGCGCACATGCTAACCATTCGGCCATCCACCCCCCCAAAAAATTTTAGGCCTACTGCTTGTAAAGTAAAGCTGATGAATTTTGTGCTACCATAGATACATATATATTGTTACATAATTAAAAAGTCTTTATTTCTTTGCCATTTCGATCAAGAGGATTGTCATCGAGTTCAGTGGCATGGTTTCAATCCCAATTCTGTGTGTGACAAGTACATGTACATGTAGTTGTGTCATCTAGCTTCCATATATAAAGCCTTTATAAACCTTTTTATAACTTCCTCGACATTACTGCCCCCAATGATGCTCAAATATAGGATCTGTAAAAAAAACAAAACAAATAAATTAAAAGGAACTTTATACTACAAAATAAAAATGAAATTAGGTTTAACATCCTACACCAGTGTGTACAAAAGACCTTGGTTTTTTTCCCATACGAAAGACTGTACGTTGTGCAAAAAAGTGTATTACAGGCTCATAATCAGGGCTTTTTAGGATGGAGAGCAAATCTCGAGTAGCATCCACTTTTTGTATCTGCTGGACTATATATTTCATAATATACTCTTCAAAATAAGTAGGGGATATTCAGAAACAATACAAAACTGCGGAAATGCACTGGTGTTTTTATTAGAGGTTACCAGTGTATGTCGACAATACTATATACCGGAAAACACCTGAAAACACCTGAAAACAACCAGAAAACACCATTTTATACTGAATACCGGAAAACACCGGAAAAACACTAAATACCGGATAACATCCTAATTACCGGAAAACACAGTGTGCGGTTTTGGACCAAGTGAGCGCCGATGAAGGAAGGTCAAAGTCATTACGATGTTCGTTTTACAAATAACCCCCCCCCCCCCAAAAAAAAAAAAAAAACGATTTTTTTTTCTCCAAAATTTTTTTGACGAAAAAAATTTTGTCGCAAAAAAAAAAAATCGATTTTTTCCGAAATATGGGTTTTAGAAAATAATTTTAGAGAGAAAAATACTGGAAAAACATTTGAATTTTTTTTTGAGAGAAATTTGGGAGAAGAAATTGTTAAAAAAATCTGAAAAGAAATTTTTCTTTGACCGTAGGCGATCGCTCGCTTGTATGTTAATGAACTTATTTCATCACCGCTCACCTGGTCAAAAACCACACACGAGGACCAAACTCCGCATTACTAAATAGCTACCGGAAAACTTAGAAGAGTAAACTGTGACCGAGATTTTTTTAGAGAGCACGCCGCGCCGCTCCGGGAGGGATCATCGTCAGGGTGGGACGGGGGTGGAATTGTCCAGTCACGTGACGAACATAAATCTTCCGTTCCTCAACCCACATTATTTCCACAGTCATTGTCATTAATCACAAATTACGGGATGATATACGAAAATGCAGGTTTACTTTGAAATAGTGCAAATGATACTTTTCCATCTACAATCTTCAGATCAAAGGATGCAAGTTCTTACACAGTGCAGCATAATTTGTGCAAATATCGATTGTCGGAAAAAACATTTTCTCGGGGACATTTTTTTTTCCGAATACGCATTCGGTGTAAGTCTTCAGCCACCAGGAAGTGGTTAACATAGTAAATTTTTATTACGATAGTAGTACATAAAACAAAATGGTTGCCCGAGGTTCTCGGGGGTAAAGTAGCCTCATCGGCTAGAGTCCTCTATTTCACAAAGAAAAACAACAATTGCTTCCTTGAAAATTTATCGATCAACCATTTTCACAGACGTCCAGCTTACCACTTCCCGTCAATGCAGTAAGATAGAATATGTAGTTTTTTCATGGACAATTGTGCGAAAGTTGGGGTTTTCTCAAGGAAAACTGGTCAACGAGTTGGGGAAAAAAGCTCGAAAAGTAATCCAGAAAAAAATCCTGTGTGCGGCCCTCGGAATATGATGGAATATGTTGAATATTATTATGGTTCAAGTAATTATATTTGACCCTGGAATGAAAGTAAGCTCAGAAACAAGTAGATTTTTAGCCCTTCCAACGAGATGGATAGCTCTTGGAAAGGATAGACACTTTTCAGATTACAGCCTGTCCGAGAATTGCGTGGCATCCATTTCGTTTGGTGATTAGGACACATAGCGGTTAAACCTCGAACTTCAACTAGAACTATTCAGAGATTTATTAACTCGCTTTTGATGATACTTGCTGTTTTATGATGCGATTTTTTGTTACCTAGGGAGAAGTTGGCCTAATCGTGCCTTCCACTAATTCGTACCACCCTGATGCCAGCGTTACTGGTAAGAATCAGGAGACCGGCGCAACCGGCATATAACGGGGCCCTCAGACTGAAACACTGAAATCTACTGAAATGTACTGAAAACTAAAATTACAAGCCAACAGTGAGGCTGATGTCCCCCGCCGAAATACCGAAATAAAAAGATGACACATATTAATTAATCGCACATTTATTTTTTTCAAAAGTATCAAGCATTTAAACCATACATTAAGTTTCATCATTCTCTACCAGACAGAATCAAGATTATCTTGTCCCAAACCATCGACAAATGAAATCAATTAGCTCTGCTTAGCTAGCGTCAGCTCAAAATGTTTATCATTGAACTCAGTCAAGACATTCACCTAATGAACATCTACATCAAGTTTAAACATTCTCCTAATGAACATCTACATCAAGTTTAAACATTCACCTACGCCAAGTTTAAACATTCTACCTCAATTAGGAGAGTTATTGTGTTCCAAAGTCTCAACCAATCAAATTGCTTATCACTCTGCTTACCCTGAGCAGAAAATGCTCATAATCGAACTTAGTCAAGTTTCATCACTCTCGCTTAATTAGAACTAAAGTTATCGTGCCCCAAAGCATCAACCAATCAAATTGCTTCCCCTAAGCAGAAAATGCTCATCTTCGAATTCCATCAAGACACTGACCTAATAAACACCTGCACCAAGTTTGACCATTCTAGGTAAATTAGAAAGAGTTATTGTGTCCCAAAAAGTGTGACAGACAGACAGACGGACGAACCCATTTTAATAGTCCCCTGCTTTCTTCGAAAGGCGGGGGACAATAAAGTGAAAAGAGGGCCATAACTCTAACTCTAGACGTAATAAACAGAAATTCAAAGGGCTTCTTCGTTTCACTAATTTAAATAATGCATATAAATTTCACAAAGATTGGATGATAACTTTTGGCGTTCAACAAAATGAAACAAGGGCCGTAACCCTTGACGTAATAAACGGAAATTATTAAAATTAATTGGACTCCTTCATCTTACTAATGTAAACATATATCAATTTCAAAACAATTGGATCATAACTTTTGGCGTTGGGGCATGTACAAGAAATCGTGGACAATATACCTCCACATTTATACGTGGGCGTATAAAAATTGTGACCTTGAGAGGGCCCACTAGCTAAAAAAAATCTTTTGTACAATCAGGGGGCATAATCCATGAAATATTTATCCGATACATGCCAATATCGAAAGGTACCGGGACATAAACATATATTTCAAGTTTCATCAAAATAGGATAAAATGAACATTTTAACTCAATTCGAAGGAGAGTTATTGTGTTCCAAAGTCTCAGCAAATCAAATTGCTTATCGCTCTGCTTAATCTGAGCAGAAAATGCTCATTATCGATCTTAGTCAAGGTATTACTGTAATGAAACTATACACCAAGTTTCATCACTCTCACTTAATTAGAACTAAAGTTATAGTGTCCCAAAGCATCAACCAATCAAATTGTTTATCTACTTAATTAGAACTAAAGTTATAGTGTCCCAAAGCATCAACCAATCAAATTGTTTATCTCTGCTTACCCTAAGCGGAACGGACAGACAAACAGACAGACGGACGAACCCATTTTAATAGTTCCCTGCTTTCTTCGAAAGGCGGGGGACAATAAGCATGAACATTTACTCAATTCGAAGATCAACCAATCAAATTGTTTATCTCTGCTTACCATAAGCGGAACGGACAGACAGACAAACAGACAGACGGACGAACCCATTTTAATAGTTCCCTGCTTTCTTCGAAAGGCGGGGGACAATCAAAGTAGGAGAGTTATTGTTTTCCAAAGTCTATACAATCAAAGTAGGAGAGTTATTGTTTTCCAAAGTCTCGACCAATCAAATTGCGTATCGCTCTGCTTACCCTGAGCAGAAAATGCTCATTATCAAACTTAGTCAAGGTATTACTGTAATGAAACTATACACCAAGTTTCATCAATCTCACTTAATTAGAACTAAAGTTATCGTGTCCCAAAGCATCAACCAATCAAATTGCTTATCTCTGATTACCCTAAGCGGAAAATGCTCATCTTCGAACTCCATCAAGGCATTGACCTAATCAACACATACACCAAGTTTGAACATTCTAGCTCAATTAGGAAGAGAGTTATCGTGCCCCAAAGTATCAACCAATCAAATTGCTTATCTCTGCTTACTCTAAGCGGAAAATGCTCATCTTCGAACTCCATCAAGGCATTGACCTAATAAACACATACACCAAGTTTGAACATTCTAGCTCAATTAAAAGTTATCGTGTCCCAAAGCATCAACCAATCAAATTGCTTATCTCTGCTTACCCTAAGCGGAAAATGCTCATCTTCGAACTCCATCAAGGCATTGACCTAATCAACACATACACCAAGTTTGAACATTCTAGCTCAATTAGGAAGAGAGTTATCGTGCCCCAAAGTATCAACCAATCAAATTGCTTATCTCTGCTTACCCTAAGCGGAAAATGCTCATCTTCGAACTCCATCAAGGCATTGACCTAATAAACACATACACCAAGTTTGAACATTCTAGCTCAATTAAAAGTTATCGTGTCCCAAAGCATCAACCAATCAAATTGCTTATCTCTGCTTACCCTAAGCGGAAAATGCTCATCTTCGAACTCCATCAAGGCATTGACCTAATCAACACATACACCAAGTTTGAACATTCTAGCCCAATTAGGAAGAGAGTTATCGTGTCCCAAAGCATCAACCAATCAAATTGCTTATCTCTGCTTACCCTAAGCGGAAAATGCTCATCTTCGAACTCCATCAAGGCATTGACCTAATAAACACATACACCAAGTTTGAACATTCGAGCTCAATTAGGAAGAGAGTTATTGTGTCCCAAAAAGTGTGACGGACAGACAGACGGACAGACAGACAGACGGACGAACCCATTTTAATAGTCCCCTGCTTTCTTCGAAAGGCGGGGGACAAAAATACAAGATAAAATATGGTCAATGATGGAGGTAGACTGATTGCGTCTTTTAAAACATTCAAAACATAATAGGCATTAACCAAATTTTTTTTTTTAGGGGGGGGGGGGGGGGCTATTTGTAAAACGAACATCGTAATGACCTTCACCTTCCTTCAGCGGCGCTCACTTGGTCCAAAACCGCACACATCGGACCATTCTCCGGGTTACCTATTTAGGGTGTTTTCCAGTATTTAGGATGTTTTCCGGTATTTAGTGTGTTTCCGGTATTTAGGATGTTTTCCGGTATTTAGTTTTTTTCCGGTGTTTTCCGGTATTCAGTATAAAATGATGTTTTCCGGTTGTTTTCCGGTGTTTTCCGGTATATAGTATGGCCCGTGTATGTTAATAACAGGCCAATTGCCTACACATGAACATAAGCAGTTCATATGGGCGGCTTATCTGACGGCCTCATTTCATTCGCAAAGAGATAAACTGTCAAACATGAAAATGAACGTTTTTGATTTTTGTCTTAATAATGATTAATTGCTCCACCAATCCTCAGACATTCAGCAATTCATCGTGGCATGCTCCTAATCAACAGTGGGGCAATCTGACCCACTCTTCTTGCAGTGCCACGGCCAATTCTTACAGTGTTGTCATTTGACGTTGACATCGACGAACACATCTCACGATCATGTCCCAGATATGCTCTATAGGGGAAAGGTCAGGACTCATTGCTGGCCAAGGCATATGGACAATATGGTAATGCTGGAGGTAGTCATTCACGACACGAGCCCGATGGGCACGGGCATTATCATCTTGAAAGATGAAACGTTGACCCGCACGTTGAGTAAAGGGCAGAACTATCGGTGCCAGGATGTGGTCACGGTAGTACACACCAGTGACCCTTCCTTGAACAATATGCAAGTCCGTTCTGCCAGTCATGGTGATTCCTCCCCACACCATAACAGACCCACGCCCGAATATGTCATGTTGTCTGACGTTAACGTTAGCATGATGCTCATTTACACGCCTCCAAACGCAAGCACACCTATCGGTGAAAACCAGAGTACATCTGGACTCATCCGAGAACATTACACGCGCCCATCGACGATTACCCCACTTTCTACGCTGCCTACACCATTGACGCCTGTTTGCCATGTGCTGGTTAGTTAATGCTGCATGTAGCCGATTTCTAATTGTTTGGGGTGTAACTCGAATTCCTGTAACATGGTAAAGATTTACAGAAAGCTGATTGGTCGTTTGTTCTCGATTTCACAGGACCTGTGTACGAATGTATCGATCCTGGACTTGTGTAGTGGCTCTAGGACGACCGGAACGAGGTCCATCATCAGCATTGTGTGTTTGTTGGTACCGGTTCCACAGTCTGCTGATCACAGACTATGACACATTAAGCATGTTGGCTACTGCTCGCTGTGTAAAACCCATTTGAAGCATGCTAATAGCACGGAGACGTTCATCATGTTGTAGACGTCTCATTGCAAATTAAACGTAACATACTAAAGCAAAGATACGCTAAACAGTAAATCGTATGCAAGAACCGATAGGAAAGCAAACATGGATAGGACAAACCAGCACGCGGCAGCTTTCATCAACCACTCCTTAAAGTGTCAAATTTGACAACGAACCCCTCCCACGTGTATTGTGCTATTTTGTGTCGTATGTACAGCTCAGTGGTTCTGTTGGGGCGACAAGTTCTTCATCTGTGAACATACTCTCAAAGCATGTCAGGTTTCCATGACTATATCATCACAACCTGCATAGGTATTTGTATTTCAATATCCCCTACTTTTTTGAAGAGTATATAGTAATAGCTGGGGGGGGGGGGGTATGTGTGGCTGATAGTTGTCTTTTGTTTTATTTAATTGATCGGCGATTGTAGAGACCGCTAATAAAAGATTTACACTGCTAGTTCTCTTTTGTTTTGCTTTGTTTAATCGGCAACTATGGATCTTGACAATAAAATATTGTTGAATTTGTGTATATACAATGTATAGTAGCACTTCGTTGTTTTTCTTTTATCAAATAGTAGTCTAAACGAGCTTGATTGACCGATCATTATTGATGATTGACAACTCGCATTTTTCCTTATCTACCAAAGAACCATAAGGTTTCTTTGCACATGCTACAATAACATCGGGATTATCGGTTAATCATCTTTAATTATCCCGCTTTGATCGTGGCCATTTCTAATATTTTCCCCCCAAAAAACAAAAAAAACTTTGCTTTGTACCCACTAATTTATCAATTGGTACTGCCATCTATGACAGGCTTGTCAGGGAATGCATGTCATTTTGAAATAAATTCATGAGCATATCATTTTTGTTAAAAAATATATTACTTTTACGGGAAACGATGATTATCAAAGAACCGTAAATGCAACTAATGTTTTATCGTTTAGTTGAGCCTTTTAATAACCACGTTTTTCATGTTAATAAATATTTTATTTCGTGTTTTGAATTGGTCTATTTCTAATAAATTCATCAGCTACTCTTTTATATACATAGTACAGATACATGTATAAAGAAATAAAACATGCTTTACTTGATGGCGAGCAGTAAATTTTACCTGCATGTTATTTTTTTAAAATCATTTTTAGCTTATTATAAATTGATTAGACAGCTGTGCTCAACCTTTCCTTTCAACTTATTCCCGAGTCCGAAGCGTCACCTACCCAAGTCCGAAATGTCGCCTACACGAATCCGAAATGTCACCTATTAGAGTCTGAAACGTCAAGGCCATATTTTTGGGAGTCTGAAATGTTGAAATGTTGAAAAAAGGTGAAAAAAATAGAAAATAAGGACATATAAATAATTTTACAACAGACGTATCTGTATGTCATAGTAAAGTTCTCTTCACATCGGTGAATTTGTAGTCTCACTATACATGTATATCACTAGTCGGGGATATAAGAAACAACTTACTTTCAAACCCAATCCCTCAATTTAACTAGTATAATCTATCTTTCTCTGTCTGCGTAATCCAAGTAGCTGTATATTGTACATTTCTCATGCAATCCTCAATAAAATCCAATACGTGCCATCTTGCTGAAAAATCATTCCCAGAATACCTCGCTTCCGGGTTGAAGAGTTGTGAAAGAAATAGTACAAATATAAAAGAATCAAAATGAGTTGAATATAATGATAGTTTAATCAATGTGGACAATATACGGTAAAGACAACAAACATGGACCACCTAACATTGAAATCCGTTAATAGAAATATCATTTAATAATTTATCGATGTAGTTATTCATTTGCGTAATATATCAATTGACCCTGACCGACCCAAAATGGCGACACGTACATTTCTGGTAACGGAGGCCATGCGACTATCAGTTGTACACGCTTCAACAATTTATATGTAGACTATAACAACGTAATATTTTAGACCTATGAATAGTAAAATTGAAGAAATTATTATTTGATTTCAGAGGCCTTTTTTTAAGGATACACAGTGTTATTCCGATCACAATGGATGTATAGCCAACTTGCCTTGTTCATGATGTTTGTCGAAATAGATCGACTACAGCCATTTTATTCAATTGTATCAAATCAAATAATCCTGATTTTTAAAATAATATTTCCATTGCGAATCTTTTAATTTTTACTTTCCCAGTCTTAAATTTATTCAGGTCAAACTACAACATATTCGTTCGACACCTTTGAAACATGTGATAGAATCTGCTATAACGAATATATATAAGGACTAAATTAAATATATTTTTAGTTGTAACAGAGCTTTAGTTTGACACATAACAAATTGTACACACACACAATAAAAAGATATGTAAATTTCTATAAATGTTGAACAAATTTAAATTGGTTTGAAAGGCCACTTAGCTGATCAGTCCTCAGTTTTCATCCAAAGTCTTCCACATTGAAAACATGAATTATTTGTCAATTTAAATCAACATTGATGTGTGATCTTACCGGGAAAAGATGGGCGTCTGATATAGATTATTTACGACAACATAAACATTTTACCATTGGTACACGAATAGTATAATGCATTTTAGCGCCATGTGTAATAGGACTCGAAGAACGAGGCTAGACATATTCCACAAGTCATGTCAAACTTTAACGCCATATTCTTACCTGGAGAGCATATGCAATAGACTGGGAAAAAAAGACGCCAGGGATTAAATGCCATTCGATTGAGACTTCTGATGTATTTTGCTGAACATAACTGATTTGAAATTAGATTAAAAACAGACACGATTAAAGGTAAATCAGTTTATATACATTCAGTTTACATTATTATATGCATTGTGTCAATTTCTAGATCCCAAATATTAGCGATTGAGCTCCTTTAACATGTCTGACTCAGCTTTTATTTTTTAAAAAATGGTGAAACATGGGCATTGTGGAGTATTAAGATAATACGTAAATGCTAGTTCCAAATTATCATTCAGACTGTAAAGGTTTTTCTGGCAATGAAATAAGAAAAACTACAGTATTGTAATATTTTGGGGTGGATTTTATTTTGTTTAAAGGAGCTAAATTGCTAATATTTGGGACCTAGAAATTGACCGAAATGGGTCGCAACGCATATAATAATAAAATATGATTGTATATAAACTGATTTACATTCAATTGTTTCTGTTTTGACTCTTAATTCCAAATCAGTTATGCCCAGCGAAATACGGCATGAGTCTCAACCGAATGTCAATTTCTAGCATCTGGTTATTCCAGTCTATTGTGCATGCTCTCCAGATAAGATATGGCCTGAAGATTTGGTATGAGTTGTGGAATGTCTTGCCTCATTATTTCTGGTCACTTGTTACAAATGATGCTGAAATTCACTATGGTGCACGATCCGTGTACCAATGGTAAAATGTTTATTTGGTCTTAAATATTTGATATCAGAAGCCTACCTTTTCCCGGTAAAATCACAACATCAATGTCGATTTGAATTGACAAATAATTTGTGTTTTCAACTTGTAAGACTTTGGATGATATTGAGTTAGGGACTTAGCCCTTTTAACTTCTAATACGCCAGATCTTGTATGTATGGAAAACAGGCTACATGAAGCCAAGCCCAGCAATAGTCCAGGGTGTCCTAAATATAATTAGCCATCAAATTCTAAAACAACCAACCAAAATGAGACGGAAGAGTACTTGTCTCCGCGACCGCGTCAAGCACATTACACAACTTGTTAGGATTGAAGCGACAACTTGAAATATATCAAATATGTCAGATATCTGCGATCATCACTGTGATGGTCGCTGGCAACAAAAAATAGCTACCGGTTGAGCACATTAGACAATTTTTTATTTTTCATTGACCAAAATCGCCTATATCGTAGTGAGCACCAGGCTTTAGACATTTAAAATCAGTGTTCCAGCAGTGCTTATATGACCCTACTCTTGGTTAGTCACTTTGCTTTATTTATAACACACTTTTTTATGCATTATCATTATTTGTTTTTCCTCTCGAGTTGGATTTCAGTTGCAAAAACACATAAAAATGGCTATTTATTGGTCCACTTTCAAGTTACTGTAGTCACAGACTGGAATAATGAGAATGTGTTTATGTACTGCACAGGTTTCTAGTCGTTTGGATGGGACGAAAAACTGAGGTGTAGGACAGAGGACCGGGCAAGAACAGTGTCTAGTCCTTCAAACAGGACAAAAAATCAAGATCTTGTGCTCATGTTGGATGTGCATGTTAAAGAACCTTGTTCATCGAGTTGCTTCATTACAAATGGTGCTCATATTAAACTGACATTTGTTTACGTAAGAAAACTAAGGATAAAAAAATAACTTAATTGTTAGTATCATGACATTAAACTGACATTTATTTTACATTATACAACTAATATTAGGTTTATGTTAGAAAACTAACGTTAGATTTATGTGAGAAAACTAACGTTAGATTTATGTTAGAAAACTAATGTTAAATTAACGGTTAAAATTATGACATAAAACTAACATTACATTAGAAAACTAACGTTAGATTTACGTCAGAAAACTAACCATAAACTAACGGTTAGAAACCTGATGTAAAATTTACGTTAGATTAACGTTAGAATTATAACCAATAATACATATATAATTATTATGTCTGAATTCCGACTATTTATTAATTGTTGGAATGTGCACACAGTTTTATGGTTATTTAATCAAAAAGTATTCAAAGCGAAAAAAATTGGTTAGAAATCCGTCATAAATTTTACCTTACATTTACGTCATTTTCTGACGTAAAAGTAACCATAACCATTATGACGTAAAAGTAACGGAAATTTAACGGTAGAATTTTTCCATTATTGGACGCTAACCAAAATCTAACCATAATGACGTAAACTTTACGTAAATCTAACCATCAATGTTAACTGGGCAAGCTCAAACTACATTTGTGTAAGTCGATATGTAATTTGTAACAATGTAAGTAAAATAAACACGTGTTGACAACTACAGTCCACGCTAAAAAAAAAAGACATATCAATATTGGGCTTTCATAGACCTTCAAGTACAAATTATGGCATTGTATGCAAATTTCTATGAATTCTATTCATGTAATGTCTCTTTGTATATAGGACAAAAACAAGCCTGTCTTTGTTGATAGATCTCTATAAAAGAAAATATTGTATCCACCACCATGTTTAATGGGGTCGTTGCTGATTGGCTACAATTTTTGAAGTTAGATAGAGAGAGGTTCTAATGGAGACAAAATAATTACGATTCCTTTTTAATTATTATTGTTTTAGATGGATTTAAATTATCTTAAACATAACAGTTAAAATAGCATTGCCTAGTTTCTCATATAAAAATGTAGAAATACATCTCCCAATCTTATTCACAACATGTCTAATTTTGACAATTCCCTTCGAGCCTCACATTGAGTCACAAATGTTTGTTTATGTACGGTAAATCTTCTCCATAATAATTTCGCTCTTCAATAAATATATGGCGACACGAGGGCGACTTCAACTTCACTTTAGGTTCTTTGGAGGGCAAAATCAGCGGTGGTTGGGGGACTATTTCGCCAACGTCACCCACTAGTTCGAGCCAGTGATGGGATTTTGGCCGTATATTACAGACATGTCCGACGCTATTTTCCAAACGTCCTAAAATGTCCGACCAGTAATATTCCCAATCGGACATCAAGACAAAATTAATATAGTGTACTGAGTGTATAACTACCACTCAACCCAATTATCGTTGATAATAGGATGTATTGATTAGGTAATTAAGTGATCACCTACCTTGATTAACTACTTAATCTGCCTTGATTGGCTGACTTAATTCTTTGTCGGACAATTCATCAATTCAATCCTGAACAGAAGTCATTGCTTCTCCTTTGTTGGACTATATATCAATCCAATAAAAATCTACGTGATTAACCCATGATTTCTCCATTGTCTCACGTTTTAATCTCCTTGATGTCGGCCGTAGACATTAGTCATATATGTCACATATCCTAATAGTATATAACACCCCAAATCAATATACATTGTGTCCGATAACTTGTCTGTGATATTTCTTCAGTGGAAGCCGAGGGTAAATAAAGCTATTTCACACACACGCAAAATGAAAGTAGAAATCTCGAAAGACACGTGGAATTAAGAGGTGTAAACGTGCCGAATCTAATACGTCTGATGTTGGGAGAAAAGATTCTATTTTGATGGCATATTGTTGGATTTATGATCATATTTTGAATGGGGTTTATGTTTTTAAATAAATAAATAAAAACGCTAAGAAATTTTGAAGAATATTACGATTGGAATAACAGTACGTAGTTACGGTAATTGTTTTAGATGATAGCGCGTGCTTCGGGTCGAATGGGATTATTTAGCAGTTGGTGTCACTCGCTCGTTGTATTAGAGCGACGTTTACTATGGTTTTTACCTTCCGTATATAAATCGAAATGGAGTATAAGACGAATGCCGGACTTTGCTGATAAAATGTATCGAATTATGACCCGAAAAATACGTTAATTTTTGGGGAATTCGAAAACGGTACGGATGGGCAGTAGTCGGCACGCTTTCATTCTATGGTATTACGATGTCATGTAATTTTGTAGGAATATTATTGACATAAATTTGAATACCGTTCGGGAATTAAATATGAAAGATAAGTTGCCAGGCAATGAAACATACGCCAACAGCGGCTAAATCGTCCGGGCGGTCGACAAGGGTTGTTGCATATTTATTCCTTTGTAGGTAATTTGGGGCCTTTAAAAGACAGTTCCATACAGATCAGATTATAATTTTTGCTGTTTGAGGGTTCACAAGGTTCTACAAATTGAAACAAGGGTCTCAACTCTGGAAGTAATCTAGAGAAATTGTTGAAATTTGACAGGCTTTTTCGTTTCACAAATTTAAATGATGCATATAAATTTCATACATATCGGATGATAACTTTCATCAATCGAGCATTAACAAAATTGAACAAAGTCAAACAAGGGCAATAACTCTAGAATTAATAAACGGAAATTGTTGAAATTCAATAGGATTCTTCTCTTTATTAATTTAAATGTAAATTTCATACAGATCAGCATATAACTTTTGATGTAAGGGAATTCACAAAGTCCAATAAAGTGAAGTAAGGGCTATAACTCTAGACGTAATAAACAGAAATTACTGAAATTCAATAAGCTTCTTCGTTTCACTTATTTAAATAACGCATATAAATTTCAGAAAGATCGGATGATAACTTTTGGCGTTAAAGCGTTCACAAGGTTCAATAAAGTGAAATAAGGGCCATAACTCTAGACGTAATTCACAGACGTAATTCTAGACGTAATTCAAAAGGCTTCTTCGTTTCACTAGTTTAAAAAGTGCATATAAATTTCAGAAAGATAGGATGATAACTTTTGGGGTTAGAGCGTTCACAAGGTTAAACAAAGTGAAACAAGAGCCATACATCTAGAAGTAATAAACGGAAATTGCTGAAATTAAATAGGCTTCTTCGTTTCCCTAATTTAAATATTGCATATAAATTTCAAAAAGATCGGATTTTAACTTTTGGCATTAGAGCATTCACAAGGTTCAACAAAGTGAAACAGGGGCCATAACTCTAGACGTTATAAATGGAAATTATTGAAATTAAATAGGCTTCTTCATCTCACTAATGTTAACAACAGATATCGATTTCAAAACAATTGGATTTTTGGCGTTAGAGCGTTCACAAGAAATTGTGGACGATGAACGGACGGACGAACTGGGGGTCGACGGCAATATACGTCCACATTTCTATGTGGGCGTATAAAAATAACGAGGTGCATCTATTTTTTTTTATTACGTATGAATTTGAATATTTTGTTGACACGTGATTCTTAATTGTGGTTTGAAAACACCTGCTTAATTAATGATAAGAGTTATGTCCCTTCATTTTCATGAAGAAAATGTCCGACAACCAAAATTTGAAATCCCATCACTGGTTCGAGCCCTTGTTAAAGCCCTGGTTAAACTCTCTCTCTCTCTCGCGCAGAGATTTTCACCCCTAGTGATAACTAAATCACCAATCAGTCAACTTCTCACACCCGTCAATTAACACACCATATCTACAGACTTTAGCCTCTTCGTATTAGATTTGTTGTAATAATTAGAATCCTACCGATTATTTGTACAATTTACCCAAGTGGTTAGAAAACTGTGTCCTAAACGTACAAAAAAACACCTTGCTACTTCTCAGTGAGAACTGTGCCTATTTTGAATCTTCTTCCCTTCATGGAACCAAATATACAAGAGCTATTCCCACCAAATCAAGAAGTTCAGCACTCGGGTGATAAACATGTGTTGACAAATAACAGATAGGTTGTTTTGGATTAATATATTTATCTGATGCAAGGGACTTTGTCTCTATGAATGATACTGTATAATTCCAGAAGCTATTACCTGTCTATCTATTGGCTGTATACTTACACACTTAAAAGTCCTAGTCCATAAGCTCCTTGATGAGTTATTTTAACAGATGACTGAGGAATTACATTCCAAGCTTCTATTTTCTTTCTTTTGTGATTTGGTTGTTGACGTCTAGGGTGTTCATGCCATTTACTATCACACATTTCACACATCAATATTTTGTCACATCCTTCACAAAAAATAACAGCTTTCTTATCAAGGCATATAGTACACCCTAGAAATATAATTAATATAACAATACAATCCTTACATTCACAAACCACTGGATTCTTGGAAACAAAACAACGCTGTTCCTTGCCAGACTCTCCGGTCCTCAACTGGGCCTATCACAGGGTATATACATTATTTATGTTGCAAATTGGTAGAGGACTCGCCAAGATAAACCAAAGATAGGTTGCCTGTGATTCCAACCAAATTTATGTCAAAGGTTTGGTAGATGACCAATTAAAAGATAGGTTGCCAGGCAACAAATCATACAGCCACAGTAGCTAAGACGCCCGGGCAATCAATAAGAAACTAAAAACTGATCAAGAGTATCAACACGTTAAACATTATCAGAAATAATTAAATAGTTCTGTAAGATGCCAACATATATTATAAAAATAAAGTTAGGTTGCCATGCAACAAAACATACGCCCACAGCAGCTAAATCGTCCGAGCGGTTGACAAGGGTTTTGTCACATATTTATTCTTTTGTAGGTAATTAGGGGCATTTAATAGACAATTTCATACAGATGACATTATAATTTTTGTCGTTTCAGGGTTCACAAGGTTCTAAAAACTAAAATAAGGGCCATAACACTGGAAGTAATCTACAGATATTGTTGAAATTCGACAGGCTTTTTCGTTTCACAAATTCAAATAACACATATAAATTCCATACAGATCGAATGATAACTTTTGTCGTTCGAACGTTCACAGGGTTCAACAATGTAAAACAAGGGCCATAACTGTGGTATATCTGGCCCATGATACCACACAATAAAGACTGAGACAAGCACAAATGGTGTTTCAATGATGGCGGCTTTAATGACAATAATGTAGACATGCGCGTGATGCAACACACTGTAAATCGGGACCATACGTGAAGCACAACATATATTACAATAACTCTATAAGTAATTGACAGAAATTGCTTACATTCAATAGTCTTCTTCATTTCACTAATTTAAATGATGCATATGAATTTCATAAAGATCGGATAATAACTTTTGTAGTCAGAGTATTCACAGGGTACAACAAAGTGAAACAAGGGCCATAACTCACGGCGTAATTAACGGAAATTGCTGAAATTCTTTGTTTTACTAATTTAAATGATGTATATAAATTTCATACAGATTGGGTGATAACTTTTGTCGTTCAAGTGTTCACAAGGTGCACCAAAGTGAAACAAGAGCCATAACTCACGGCGTAATTAACGGAAATTTGCTGAAACTCAATAGGCTTGTTCGTTTTACTAATTTAAATCATACATATAAATTTTAAACAGATCGAATGGTAACTGTTGTCATTAGAGCATTCCCAAGGTACAACAATGTGAAACAAGGGCCATAACTCACGGCATAATTAACAGAAATTGCTGAAATTCAATAGGATTCTTTGTTTTACTAATTTAAATGATGCATATAAATTTCATACAGATTAGTTGATAACTTTTGTTGTTAGAGCGTTCACAAGGTGCAACAAAGTGAAACAAGGGCCATAACTCCAGAAGAAATTAATGGAAGTTATTGAAATTAAATAGGCTTCTTCATCTCACTAATGCAAACAACATATATCAATTTCAAAACAATTAGATGATAAATGTAGCCTGTAGAGTGTTCACAAGAAATTGTGGGCGATGGACGGCCGTACGGACCGACGGACGGGGGCAACGGCAATATACGACCACATTTCCATGTGGCCGTATAAAAATGGTTGGAGTGTCAAAGTTTAGATTTGTCGTTGATTCCATAAAGTAGTTACGTTTATAAACGTTAAATACTGTGTAATTTAATATGGCACCCGAGGGGTTTAATATATATATGTATGAATTACTACCAAATAGTTTATTTTTGTTTACAATGCTCTACCACTGAGTGTTCCAACTTTGGACTTATATTCAGCCTTATAATCCACTCACGGGTGTTACCTCAACACTCTTGTTTATATGCTATCCCTTTATTGTTATGACAAAACAATGTTACAAACTAACCAAAGGCATCCTAGTTAGCAAAATTATGGACTGAACGGTTTTTAAAATCGGAAAAAAAATTGAAACCTCTAAAGAAACCAAAAGCTAAAAATGCGCTTTTTCGACCAATTAGGGGCCATAATCCAGGAAGTTACGTTTGGATATGTGTGATTATCAAAAGGCACCAAGATGGTTATGATCAAAACATATTTAAAGTTCTATCCAAATCTGATAAAAACTGTGGCTTCTAGAGGGTCCACAACCTTGATATACCATATTTTTACACAATTTGCGTGCAAGGGGCGGCCATTATGTCCTTCAGTTTTAGTCTGATTTTCACGAAATTCTAACTCAACCATCATTAGTGTATAACTGTGATATATATTCACAGACATATTCGGATAAAAATTGTGACCTCTATAGGGACCACAAGCTCATGTGGACGTATATTGTATATGTCTGGACGTCCGGACATCTGTCCGTCCACAATTGTGTGTGGACTCTCTACAGGTTACAATTCTTATCCGATTTTGACGAAACTTGAAATATAGGATTATACCCAAAACGTGATTTTTCGTACAAACAGGGGCCATAATCCATAAAGTTTCGATCCAATACATGCCAATATCGAAAGGAACCGAGATCTTTTGGAGATAAACCTATATTTCAAGTTTCTTCAAAATCAGATAAGGATTGTGACCTGTAGAGTGTCCACAAACAAATTGTGGACGGACGGATGTCCAGACGGACGGACAGGGGCGACGACAATATACGTCCACATGAAAATGTGGGCGTATAAAAAATGAAATATGAATTTACTTTGTAAAGTTTTCGTGCGTTATCAAATTTTGAAGTGGAAGCCCTGCTCTTAACTCTTGTATCCTTCCACCTCAAAATCATGAATGTTCACCAAAACCTGACAGAAAATGTATTTTCAAACCCTTTTCGTCGATTCAACACGAAAAAGTCAACAAAAATCGTCATGCAAAAGCGGGGAAAAAGGGAAAGGGAGAGAAAGACAAAAAATAACTTTCAGCCTTCATTCGTGCGTGACGACGTAGGAATATTTGGTGAGCTGTGTCCTATAGGAACTTCAGATATCATCAAAAGGCCTTTTTTGTTTGCTTCCTATGTGTCCTGTGAAAGAAAATCAAAATCAAAGAGTAACTGCAGAAATGATGCTTTATGTACAGCGGTGCACCTTAGGTCCATGAGCTTCTAGATAAGAGGAAATGTTAGTCTCTCCTAGCAAAACTCTGCAACCATATGCATATCATTTTCAAACAGATCGGATGATAACTGTTGTCATTAGAGCGTTCACAAGATTCAACAAAGTGAAACAAGGGCCATAACTCTAGATATAATTAACGGAAATTCAATACTCTTCTTTGATTTACTAATTTAAATGATGCATATAAATTTCATACAGATCGGTTGATAACTTTCGTCATTAGAGTGTTCACAAGGTGCAACAAAGTGAAACAAGGGCCATAACTCCAGAAGACATTAATGGAAATTGCTGAAATTCAATAGGATTCTTCATATCATTAATTTAAATGATGCATATCAATTTCATACAGATCGGTTGATAACTTTTGTCATAAGAGCGTTCACAAGATTCAACAAAGTTAAACAAGGGCCATATAGATGTAATTAACAGAAATTTGCTGAAACTCAATAGGCTTGTTCGTTTTACTAATTTAAATGATACATATAAATTTCATACAGATCGGATAATAACTTTTGTCGTTAGCGCGTTCACAAGGTGCAACAAAGTGAAACAAGGTCCATAACTTCAGAAGAATTTAACGGAAGTTATTGAAATTAAATAGGCTTCTTCATCTCACTAATGCAAACAACATATATCAATTTCAAAACAATCAGATGATAAATGTAGTCTGTAGAGTGTCGACAAAAAATTGTGGACGATGGATGGATGGACGGACGGACGGTGGCGACGGCAATATACGACCACATTTCCATGTAGGCGTATAAAAATGGTGTGTCAAGAAGATCGTTGTGTGCTTTTGTAAATTTTTTGGACTTAGCCTTACTTTTACCAAGCTTCCTAGTCTTTGTTTTCAGTCTGACCAGTCTATTTTGAATGTGTTTGTCACCAAACGTCACACAGTCATGTAAAGCAGTTATGATAGACCGATGCTCCGTAGTTGTCGGGAATTTATTAACAATGCCTAGTATAAGCCTATTTGTGATTTTTCCCATTGGTAGTTTGGTTACAGTGCTCAAATCATAGGGGTATTTGTCCAATCCAATGCTGGATAGCAATTCATTGGTGGACGCCATCTTGCAGGGCTCAGTCTCAGATCAAGGCTTAAGTCTACACAATAATTAAATAAGATACTATAATTATGAAAATAATTTACACCAAGTTACTGAAAGGTGTCTGGAAAATAAAGACTACAAATAGAAATTTTGTTTCGGTTACTTCCTGTCTCAAATAGTTCTGCGTATTTAGAGCTAGCAAATATTTATTTCCTAAAATAAACAGAGCGCCACGTAAACGAAGGTTGTAACCACTAAATAAGAATAAATCACAAAATGTTGTAATGAGTTTATCTTGCCACGCTCATGGTTTTGAAAGTTAGAAATGAAATGAAGCTATTATAGCTAGCTCTGTACCGAAATCGCCCAAATCAAATATTAAATCAAAGAGCGCAATCGAAATTTTTGCTCACGTTCACTATTAAATAAACACGAAAGTCGAAGTGCGTAATGAACCTTTTCTACTTCATATATAGATATTCTAACACATAGGCCAGATAGTCAATCCTTAGAGATAGGTTCTACACACTATGCATGTTACCGTGATACATTATGTAAGAGCTAAATCTGCCATTACAAGTCTTTCTTTATTCCTGAAATGTCATCTAAATTATTAGACATTAGTTAACTTATCCAGACGATAATCAACTTTCGATGTCATCGCTAGCCTGCGATATTTGCTGGATTAGGATCCGATATGCTGCTCAACGCTCATTCATGATTAAATCAAGAAATGGCTAATCGAGACTATATTTTTTATCGTACCGGCTTTAGTAATGATGATCAAGGCTAGGCCCAAAATTCAATCGCTAAAATCAATATACTTGTTCGTCTCAAGACTTTAAACTCTGTGTATCAATCTGAAGTCAATCGGATGATAATTTTAGTCTCTAGAGCGTCACAAGATTTTTCCAAGTGATTATGGCAGTAATTATCGGATATCGCTGAAAATCAATAGGCTTCTTCGTCTCATGACCTTAAACACTCCGTATAAATTTAAATCAATTGGATATTAACTTTAGCCTCCAGAGCTGGACCGACGGACGGGGGCAACGACAATATACGACCACACTTCAATGTGGTCGTATAAAAAAGGAGCATGTCTGTATGACGACATAATACATCTTGATCTTTTGAGTGTCTTATTTGTTTACATATTATTTAGTCTCAAAACTCATCGAAAAGTTGTGTAGTTCAAATATGAATATAGATATTAATCTTACCTTTATTTTTCATTTCCCCTCCAGTTTTGGAATCAATTTTTTCTGGCTGTTAAAAAGAAGATAATTTATATAGTTTACCAATGTCTTTCTAGATTAAAATCTCATTATATTTAACATGGAACACGCATTGAAAAGTAGGAAAGGTGTGGTCAGTATATAAATCTAGCTCTTGAGGTCAATATTTACTATCTCAGTTTATTTTACAATAACTGCAACAAATCAAAATAAAAGGGTTAAATGTCTTAATAAGGCGTGAGAATTTGACTGGAAATTTGAGAACTACTGACACATATTTTTTAAAACCCAATTTTTAAACATGGCTACGAACGACCTCTGCCATGTAACTATAAGATAGGTTGCCAAGCAACAAAACATACTGTTCTATTAATATTCTGTGGATATATTACACAGACTCATCAATGTAGGTTCATTTCGTGCAGAACACTTCGTAGTTATACTGGAATTAATAGTTTTTTCATAATTGATCAAAAATAAACTCATAGTAGATACTTTAGATAAAATCAATCAAAAACATAATGCAAAAACAATAGAAACGTTTGATTTTTCTACTTTGTATACTAAACAAAACTGACACAGTTATATGGGACAAAAATCACTGGTTTATTATAAACAAGCACGAAGTTTCGATAAGTATTCTCTTATCGTTATCAAGCACAATGACATTTAGTTGTTGTTGTTAGTTAGTTGTATTAAAGTCCGCTTCCACCGAGGTGATATCGCAGACAAGTGACATTTAGTAAACTTGAGGGTCTATATATACTATTCAAAAAAAGTAGGGGATATTTGATTTTGGGGGCATAATACTAAAATATGCAAATGACTACGAAAAAAGTCACTATAGAACCTAACAGAAGAAACATTTCCAGTTACATGTGACGCCCAAACGCACCAATAGCTACCGCATGGAATGCAGGTGATGCTTGGGATCATCATGGGGGTCCAACCCAAGATTTGCACGACTCTGACTTTGAATGTTACAGTCATTGTGGCATTGAATTCCAGGGTGGAAACATCAGTTTAATTGTTTTAGTGACCAGAAAACAAATTTTGATATGCGTCGGCTTACCCAAAATGAAAGGTTACGTGCCCTTGGCATGCTACAGATCGGCACAACACAGGCGGTTGTGGCGCGGACGATGAATGTTTCTCAGTCTGTCATAAGCAGGCTATGGTCCAGATACCGTGATACACAATCTGTACAGGACAGACCACGCTCAGGTCGACCAAGGGCGACAACTCAAGCCCAGGATCGATTTATCCGTACCTTGGCCTTGAGAAATCGTGTCATCACAGCAAATCAGATCAGCGCTCGTCTTCAAACAGACACTGGTGTGAGAGTGAGTGGCCAGACGATTCGGAATCGACTGCATAGGGGTCACCTTCGCGCCCGACGTCCTCGCGTGATCCCTTGTTTGAGAGATCATCACATTCAGGCAAGACGTCGTTGGTGTAGGGATCGTCAACACTGGGATAATCGACGCTGGAGCAATGTGATGTTTTCAGATGAGTCAAGGTTCACTGTTGATTTTTTGGACAGACGTAGGAGGGTGTGGCGTCGTCGAAACGAGCGCTTCCAAGACGTTAACGTCATCAGACATGATCGATTTGGGGGTGGTTCTGTTATGGTGTGGGGAGGCATCACTGTTGCTGGAAGAACGGCTTTACATGTTGTTGCAGGGCGTGTTACAGGCCAGTACTACCGGGACAACATCTTGGCAGTCCATGTTGTGCCGTTCGCACGACGTCATGGCCGCCGTTTCATCTTCCAGGATGACAACGCAAGATGTCACAGGGCCAGGATCGTTACAGGTTACCTCCAACAACAGAACATCACCACATTACCTTGGCCAGCACTGAGTCCCGACCTCTCCCCCATCGAGCATGTCTGGGACATGCTTGGACAGAGGTTACGTCAACGTCAACAACGTCCTGCCAATGTCCAAGAACTTGCTGCTGCGTTGCAACAGGAATGGGACAATCTGGACCAAAATGACCTTAGACGTCTCATTAGGAGTATGCCACGTCGGATCAATGCTTGTTTGGCAAACAGAGGAGGATTTACCCGTTACTGACTTGGTTGTGATGCTGTGGTAACTTTGCTGTTTGACCCCGGGTATCATTTTACCCTTATAATGGTCAGTCTGTGCCTTACTTAGTCTAACGATCATTTGGAATAAATCGATGAATGTGAACTTCATTTCATTTTGTCATTTGTTTCTTCGTCAGTTTCATTAGGTGACTTTAATAACACTTAAAAATCAAATATCCCCTACTTTTTTTGAATAGTATATATATGTACAATGTGAAGGTCCACAACCTTGATATACCATATTTTTACGCTATTTGAGAACGAAGGGCGACCATTTTGTCTGTCAGTTTTGGGCGGATTTTCACGAAATTCGAACTCAGTCGTCCGTGGGGTGTAACAGTGATATAATAATACGTTTTTTAAATCGGATAAAAATTATGACCTCTATAGAGTCCACAAGCTAAAAACGCAATTTTTCGTACAATCAGGGACCATAATTCAGGAAGTTATGTCCCGATATGCGCGAATATAGAAAGGAACCGAGATCTTTGGGTTATAAACTTACATTTCAAGTTTCATCAAAATAGGATTAAAATTGTGACCTCTATAGGATCACAACCTTGATATACCATATTTTTACGCTATTTGAGAACGAAGGGCGGCCATTTTATCTGTCAGTTTTGGGCCGATTTTCACGAAATTCGAACTCAGCCGTCCTTAGGGTGTAACGGTGATATATTAATACGTTTTTTTAAATCGGATAAAAATTATGACCTCTATAGGGTCCACAAGCTAAAAACGAGATTTTTCGTAAAATCAGGGACCATAATTCAGGAAGTTACGTTCCGAAAAGCACGAATATCAAAAGGAACCGAGATCTTTGGGTTATAAGCATACATTTCAAGTTTAAATCAAATCGGATAAAAATTGTGACCTCTACAGTGTTCACAAGCTAAAAACGTGATTTTTCGTACAATCAGGGGCCATGAAGTTACGGTCCGATACATGCCAATATCGAAAGGAACCGAGATCTTAGGGTGATAAACCTATATTTCAAGTTTTATTGAAAGGATAAAAATTGTGACCTGTAGACTGTTCACAAACAATTGTGGACGGACAGACGTCCGGACGGATGTCTGGACGGACGCCCAGACGGACAGGGGCGACGACAATGTACGTCCACATGAAAATGTGGGCGTATAAAAATGATTAGGGGAAATCATACATTAGACAAACTGTATAATTAACAGAGAGAGAGAGAGAGAGAGAAATGGGGTTTAACGTCCACTCGACACAAACTAGGTCATTTCGGGACTAACACATGGGTCAATTTTATTTCAATAATTCACTTGCGCGTAGGGTCTTTAGCAGTGGGAGGAAACCGGAGGACCTGGAGAAAACCCACGAGGTTGGACAGGCGACCCTACTCCTTGTCACGTACAACTGGGGATTCGAAACCACACCAGTAGACTCAATGACAGATTTTATGATACAGCACGCATGTGCTAACCATTCAGCCACCCAACCCCCCTATAATTAACAGATATGAGCTTATAAACACAAGGTCTTGTAAATGAACATAAAACCACATTAACAAATGTTATGAAAACAAAGCATAATAGCACTAAGATAACACAGTAATCGTGATCCAAGGGTTTGAAAGGTCAAATAAAGGCTAATAATAATTGCACTCAGTTAACCTAGTAATCGCGATTCAAGGTGTTGAAAGTTAAAAAAATATATATTATTAAAAGTTAATAACTGGGGGGGGGGGGGGAATCATACATTGGACAGACTGTATGTTAACAGATAAAAGCTTATAACACAAGGTCTCGACTCAAATGTAAACAAGCCAACAGTGAGGCTGATGTCCCCCGCCGAATAACCAAAATAAATAGATGACACACATTAATTAATCGCACATTAAACTATATACACTAAGTTTCATCACTCTCTATCAGATAGAATCAAGATTATCTTGTCCCAAAGCATTGCCCAATGAAATTGATTAGCTCTGCTTAGCTTCAGCTTGAAGGCATTCACCTAATAGACACCTATGCCAAGTGTGAACATTAGAATGAGAGTTGCTGTGTTCCAAAGTCTCGACCAATCAAATTGCATATCGCTCTGCTTAACCTGAGCAGAAAATGCTCATTATCAAACTTAGTCAAGGTATTAGAACTAAAGTTATCGTGTCCAAAAGCATCAACCAATCAAATTGCTTATCTCTGCTTACCCTTAGCAGAAAATTCGCATCTTCGAACTCCATCAAGGCATTGACCTAATAAACACATACATGAAGTCAATCTGGTTAAAACACAGATCCTATTTCGTTTCGTTTTTATAGTTCAAAATTTCGTTTTACTTGTCTTTACTACACTTGGATCTGGAAGAGTTGTTATTTAACTCGTGTTCTGAATGGTGTCAGGGATAAACCAATGAAACAGTCTGTTACGGCGAGCTTTAGGCATGTTTTTCACGGAACTGTGGGTAATCCGCTAGTAACATCAATGCTGATTGGTTAATCAAATGTCTGACGTCAAAAGGGTCATAAGTCGGTCTTTTGACCCCTGACGTGACCTATCGCTATAACTTGTCAGATCTTCATGTAGTGTAGGCCATCGAAAGTATAAAAAAACGAAACGAAATATAGTATTTTAATCAGATTGACACCAAGTTTGAAGATTCAAGCTCAATTAGAAGGAGAGTTATTGTGTTCCAAGTTCTCGACTAATCAAATTGCTTATCGTTCTGCTTACCCTGAGCAGAAAATGCTCATTATCGAACTTAGTCAAGGTATTGATGTAATGAAACTATACACCAAGTTTCATCACTCTCACTTAATTAGAACTAAAGTTATCGTGTGCCAAAGCATCAACCAATCAAATTGCTTATCTCTGCTTACCCTAAGCCGAAAATGCTCATCTTCGAACTCCATCAAGGCACTGACCTAATAAAAACCAACACCAAGTTTGAACATTGTAGCCCAATTAAAA